TTCAATGCCACCAGGGCGCTGGAGGTGGGAAGGCCTGGCAGAGGGCCGCTGCACGGGCTGCGTGTAGCAGATGGGCGTGAGTCCCTGAAACAGCCAGGTTCAGTCCCCCGGCTCTGCCCCAAGCTCCATGTGACTTAAGGCAAGTCTTTTGCTTGTGTGTTGGTGCCCCATGTGGCTGCGCTATTGCCCATCTCCACAGGGTCAATGCCACCAGGGCGCTGGAGGTGGGAAGGCCTGGCAGAGGGCCGCTGCACGGGCTGCGTGTAGCAGATGGGCGTGAGTCCCTGAAACAGCCAGGTTCAGTCCCCCGGCTCTGCCCCAAGCTCCATGTGACTTAAGGCAAGTCTTTTGCTTGTGTGTTGGTGCCCCATGTGGCTGCGCTATTGCCCATCTCCACAGGGGCGTGAGCGTAACCTCCTAGACAGGCAGGGCAGGACGAGACCTCAAGGCCAGGCCCAACCCGGTGCTGAGGTAGGACCAAGTGCACCTGGACCATCCCTGGCTTCTTAACCCTCCCGTGCCAGGGGTCCCACAACCTCCTCTGCCTCGGCAACAGGCTTGTAGCTTGCCTGAGGTTCCTTCCTCATACGTCTGGCTTCTAACCCTTGGGTCTCTGGGCACCGTCCAGTGTGGCTCCATCTTGGAACAGGACCCCCCCAGCTGAGGCCCCCACCAGGGCTAAGCAGGACGGGGCCTTGCCATGCCTTGCATACAGCCCTGCTGCTAATAGGCCCCAGGATGCTATTCACCCCCTGTGATCTGTTACACCCCCCCACAACTTCGGGTCAGCAGCGTGCCCACCTTGCAGTCTGCTGCCATGCATTGGGCTATCCATGGGCTGGGCACAGGGATCCGCCTGGTACCAGGTCTGGGCCGAGCGTTGCTCAGACTGGATGGGAAATCCATCCCATTGGGCCTTAGGCCTAGGATGTGACTTCTCCAGCTGGCTCTGGGGACAAGCTACTAGACCAGGTGCTGCCCTGTTATATCAGTACCTAGCACTTGGCTGCTGGCTTCCTCCATGAGCCAGGCTTAAGTGGCCCCAGTTCCAGCTGGTGCCTGGCAAACTTGCCATGTGCTGCCCTATGCATCAGCCTCGAAAGGGCATCACTGTCACACTAACCCCTTGGGGGCAGGGCCTAGTGGGTAGAGTCTGTGGCTGTCTGGGAGCCAGGACTCCTGGGCCCTGTCCCCTGCTCTGGGTGGGATGTAGGTTAGAGCCAGGGGAATGGTGGGGCCCACTGGGCACCAAATCCGGGAGTAAGAAGGGTTTCTGCTAAGAGGAGGATGGTACTGCCTGCAAGGCCACTTGTCCCAGCCCCACATCAACACTGCTGCTCCCCCTGATCGAGTCCCTCTTCTCCCCCCACAGAGGAAGAACCCTAACCAGAGGGTCCAGGCCAGAGCGGAGGCTTGGGACTGCAACTGAGGACTTCAGGGTTCGACTGTAAGACAGTAAAGCTGAAATCTCTGGGAACCGTCTGGCCCCGCGTGTGTTCTCTGGGGTGGTGCCTGACGTGCCCGGGCCATGTGTCAACCGGGGCCTAATACGAGGATGTATCTGAATGGATTTTTGGCTCTGAAGGGGAACATGGAGTATGGATACGACCTAGGCCAGTGCCCCTCATGCTGAGGCCGGCCCTGCCTGAGGTGAGTTCTGGTCCATATCCAATATGCTGCCGGCTGCTACTGATGCCATGCGCAGCGTTTCCAGTTGATGTGACATCACAGCCCAGGACTTTAAAATTGCTTAGCGCCATGTTGCACTGTGCGGCCTAGCTCCAGGTTCGGAGTCTGGGGACTTTTGGGGCCCGGCCAGCCTGGGCCTGGCCAGCCACATGGCTGTTTTAAGCCCTGCAGCCTGAGCTCCATGACGGGCAGGGCAGAGCAGGGCAGGGCAGGTCTGAGCAGGGCAGGGCAGGGCAGAGCAGGGCAGGGCAGGGCAGAGCAGGGCAGGGCAGGGCAGAGCAGGGCAGGGCAGGGCAGAGCAGGGCAGGGCAGGGCAGAGCAGGGCAGGGCAGGGCAGAGCAGGGCAGGGCAGGGCAGAGCAGGGCAGGGCAGGGCAGAGCAGGGCAGGGCAGGGCAGAGCAGGGCAGGGCAGGGCAGAGCAGGGCAGGGCAGGGCAGAGCAGGGCAGGGCAGGGCAGAGCAGGGCAGGGCAGGGCAGAGCAGGGCAGGGCAGGGCAGAGCAGGGCAGGGCAGGGCAGAGCAGGGCAGGGCAGGGCAGAGCAGGGCAGGGCAGGGCAGAGCAGGGCAGGGCAGGGCAGAGCAGGGCAGGGCAGGGCAGAGCAGGGCAGGGCAGGGCAGAGCAGGGCAGGGCAGGGCAGAGCAGGGCAGGGCAGGGCAGAGCAGGGCAGGGCAGGGCAGAGCAGGGCAGGGCAGGGCAGAGCAGGGCAGGGCAGGGCAGAGCAGGGCAGGGCAGGGCAGAGCAGGGCAGGGCAGGGCAGAGCAGGGCAGGGCAGGGCAGAGCAGGGCAGGGCAGGGCAGAGCAGGGCAGGGCAGGGCAGAGCAGGGCAGGGCAGGGCAGAGCAGGGCAGGGCAGGGCAGAGCAGGGCAGGGCAGGGCAGAGCAGGGCAGGGCAGGGCAGAGCAGGGCAGGGCAGGGCAGAGCAGGGCAGGGCAGGGCAGAGCAGGGCAGGGCAGGGCAGAGCAGGGCAGGGCAGGTCTGGGGGAAAACTAGGAGGAAGGGGTGGGAGAGGAAGGGGCTTGTGTGGAGGGGGAGGGGGAAGAAAGGGGAAGGCACCAAGGGACAGCGTGGAGGAGAGACAAATGCCAGGGGGCCAGGTGGAGACAATGAGGAAAAGGGCAGGAGGGGAGGT